CCCCACAACAGAATGTCACTCAGCCAGGAAGGGAGTGAGGCTGTGACATTCGGCACAGAGTGGTGGACCTCGAGGAAACACCATGCTCAGTGAGAGACACCAGACACAAAAGGAAGGACACATAGCATTGGACTCCATGGACAGGAAACACCCAGGACAGGCGACTTCAGACATGGGAAGTGGACTCGTGGGTCCTGGGGCCAGGGAGGGGACAGGTGACTGCTCATGGAGATGGGATTTCTTTCAGGGTGATGTAATGTAACATTCTGGAATTAGAGGGGACAGTTCACAACTGTGTAATTTTATTTGGTACCGGGGATCGAACTTGGGACCTTGCACTTACGAGGCAGATGCTGGAACCACTGAGCTAAATCCCTGGCTGAACTGTGTAATTTTAAAGATGAACTTCAGCTGGTGTGGTGGTGCATGCCTGTGACCTCAGCACTTGGGAGGCTGAGGCGGAAAGATCACCTTGAAATTGAGGCCAGCCTAGGCTACACAGTGGATTCAAGGGCTGCCTGGACTACATAGTGAGGCCCTGTTCCAAAATCAAAACCAAAAGATGAACTTCATGACATGTGAATTATATGTCAACAATGTTGTTAAAAAAAAAAGATAGGGCCGGGGATTCAGCTAAGTGGTGCTGCCAGCTGCCTTGCAAGCACAAGGTCCTGAGTTCGATCCCTGCTACAAAAAAAAAAAAGATAAAGTTCAGTTCTGGGCACACGGGGCTAAGGAACCTTGAAGCTCTGGCTGCGTGCCCCAGACTGGGTCCCAGGACTTAGCCTGCCCCACTTGCACAGGTACCCAACCCTAGCATGTGCCAGCTCTGCCCCACACATACCTACTTCCCCAGCAGTGCAGACGGGTCCAGCCCCAAGCCTCACCCAGAGACAACCACATAGGTAGCGCCCAGTACTCATGAGCCCATGGGGACAGTGAAGGTGTGCCAGCCTATGCCACCTCTGGAACTATCCAGCCTGGGCCTCCCAGTGGAATCTTCTCAACACAGGCCCCCGGCAGATGCCAGGATCTCATCGAGTCCACTTGGAACATTCTGTCTGCCGAGAATGAGAGCTGATAACATCCAGCGCTCTGATTCCCAACTCGCTAAAATCCTATTTACCACCTGGATCCAAGTACCCGGCAGTCAACCCTAGGGTGACGCCAGGCCTCCTGTCCCTTACATGCGGCTCCATATGGCTCTTGGGAGACACCAGCACCGCCCAGGGCCCAGCACTGGTGACAGATGGAGGAGGGTCTGGTACAGGGCAAGGTGTTCCTGTTGTCACTCACCACACAAGGCTCTCAGGGGACAGCTAAGCACAGTGCCTCGCATCCCCTCCCCAAGCAGCCTGGCACACATTCAGCAGAAAGGACACAGTCACAGCACATACTCCCTCACCCCACAAAGAAGAGGACAGAGATGCTGAGCCACAAGTGACTGCAAGCCAGGGCTCCCCAAGCTGTCCCAGGGTAGCTCGTTACACACGGCCCCCTTGGCCTGCTGCCCCACTCCTGTGCTTGGCTGGTTCGCACCTGACCACCATGGGCAAAACGTAACCTGCAGAAGCAGAGAAACCTCTGACAGCCCCGACAGGCCAGACAAATGTGGAGAAGGTTAGTAGCAAAGACAGAGGGAAGCTGTCATCCTGCAGTCCACTGAGACCCACAGGCAGAAAGGTGGACCCACAGATCGCAAGGTGGCACACACTTGTCACCTCAGCCACTCAGAAGGCTGAGGCAGAAGGATCACAGCAAGTTCAAGGCCAGCCCCGGTAACTTAGAGAATTAGTAAGACCCTGTCTCAAAAAACAAATTAATAAAAAGGGCTGAGCATACACAGTAGCTCAATCCCCAATATGGGGAGGGATCCCTTCCCTTGAGGCCTCATAATTAACAAGGTGCCTCAGAAGCTCTTTTTTGACTTTTTGATGTCTTTGGGACTCTCCTGTCTTGTAAGGAGAGTGTGTAACTTCCTGTGGCGTCAGCCCTAGAATGCAGGGTTCGTGCGGCTTCCTGGGAAGGGAAGGAAGGACACCAGTGGCTCAGCCTGCCCCCTCACCCAGCACCCTGACCAATGTCCACAACATCACACTCTAAGAAAAAAGCTTTCAGCATGGCCCAGAAGACAGGACTCTAAGGCTTGTTGGGAAGCTTCTGGACACTCCACTACAAGAGAGACGGCCTGAGCGAGTCTATTAAGCTCTGCACAGACAAAGGGGCCTTTTGCCCTGCAGCCAGCTGGCAGTGAGGCTGGCCAAGGAGCCGGGGACCAGGCCCAGGCTGGGGAGGGGACACCTCTTCTTCTTGTGAGAACCCACACGTGGCAGCCCCACCCAGGTCCCCTCTGGCCTCTTGTTGCTGTGTGCTCCCTGCAGGAAGTGTCACCCACTGCAGAGGTGGGGCTGCAGAAGGAGGAGGGGGCTTCTACCTCACAGCTGCCCAGCCAGACACTGATGGGCACGTGAAAGGTGTCAGGGCAGCCTCCACATGGCAGTCTCCCCAAACACCAGCCCCTCACCCCTAGTCCTTGGAGGCTGGGCTGGGGCCAGCAACAGTGAGGACTTATTGCACCCATGGAGGGCAGATGGGTCATGAGCCGCAGTGGAGCCTCGGGGGACCCCAGGACAAAGCCCAGTTCAGGTTCCACCAACCATTCCACTTCTCTGGCCTCAGTTTCCACTTCTGTTCTGACAGTGTCACCTGGGACCCTAGCATGTCTTTGGCCTGTCTCCTCGCCTTGCCTTCCTTGAGTTGCTGACACAAGCTCTTGGGACCCCACTGACCACCTTGGAAGCCAGGGGCTGGGACACCGGCCGGGGTGCCCTGCCACTCCCTGCATGCCACGGTAATGGGCCTGGATTACTCAGAACTCAGACAGGCTACATACACGCACTGACTCCCCATGATGCACTGCAAACATATAAAAATAAAAATAAAGAAAGACCTCAGACCCAGCCTGTAGAACAGGGGTCCTGATCATCCATGCATCACTCTGTGGACGGCCACAGGCTGGGCCTCCACCTTTGCCCACTGACACCTCCTCACCATGCTGCAGGGCTCCTGGAGTGAGCAGGTTTGCACCTAAAGACCTGGGAATGGATGGCTTCCTCCCAGCACCAGGAACCCAAGGCAGTCAGGATGGGGTGGGGGTGGGGAGCTTAGGGACAGGCAGCAGGTACAGCAGGCGGGGGCACTTCTAGCTGGGTAGGACTTTAGGAGCCCCCTCCTCTGCCAATGGTGACAACTACAAACCGCAGCAGGAGGGTACAAGGGGCCCGGGGTGCTGGGTAGACCCCATTACCAGGGGCTGGAGGCTGGGCCCCAACCCTCAGTGCCCACTCAGCCCTGTATGTGGGCGAAGGCCAGCAAAAATGACCGGCAGAAATCACAAACTGGCAGCCGTGGGCCACATTCACCCTCACACACTTCTGGTTTAGAGAAAAAAGTTACCAGAAGCCAAACTCAAGCCGGGATAGACCTGGGGGTTGGGGGAGGACACCTGGCCCCAATCCCTAACAGTGCCCCTGTGCTAGATGCCCAGACTTTATCAAGGCCCCGTGGAAGCCGTCCACCGTCCAGGCCAGTCCCATTTCTGACCCAGCCGTTCTGACTCCTGAGAGCATTGCTTTGGCGCCTGTCACCCGGCTTCAGGCTTCAGGCTGGCGGGATATCACGGGTCCTGTCACAGCTCACGGGCTAGGAGAGCCGGGTAAAGGGATCAGAGCCCAGTGGGGCCCAGGGACCAGGACTGCTGTCCAAGGTCACCGTCCACCTCACAGGCTGTCCCCACCAGCCCTGCAGCCCAGTCCAGCAGATAAGGTCCCTTCTTGGAAACGGGGGTGGGGGTAGGGGGGGTAAAGTTTCAGAAGTTAGGAGGACAGGGAGGAAAAGCAGGAGGTCTGGTGGTGATAAGGAGGCACCAGCTAGAGGAGGAGGGGCTCCTTGGCTACAGCCCCTGCAGGGCCTGTGCCAGGGTGCCTGGGGGAGCAGTGCCTGGAGAAATCTGCGATGCCCGGAGCCAGCACAGCAATCCCAGGCAGGGCCACCAGAGCCGGAGCAGGGACGTCCCAGCCTCCCATTCTAGGCAGGCGACAAAGGGCCAATTTCCCTCCTACCAGCCGATAAGCTGGAGCAAATAATTATTTTTGGCAAGTACAGGGTTCCCCTTGGACAGCATAAAGAAAACCCATCTCGCCTGGCCCAGTAATGGCCACACACTACGCACAAAACCTGCTGTGGCCGTGGCGCATACACTCATAGGGCCCAAACAAACACAAGCTGCGGGCCCACAGCCAGGGACCAGGAGAGGGGCGTCCCTTTCCAAGCTTAGGGCACAGGTGGGGTGCCCTGAACTAGGGAAAGTCCTTCTACAGATTTGAACCACACTGTCCTTGGCTGGGGTTGGCCACACACTGTCAGCTCAGATCTTTAGAAAAAAAAGGGAAAAAAGAGATGGGAGGATGGACAGAAGGAAAGTAGGAAGGAAGAAAGGGGAGAAAAGGAGGAACAAGGAGGAAGAGAGGTAGACGAGAAAGCTTAGAAAGGAAAACGTGCAGACATGAAGCGAAAGAAAGATGGAAAGAGCTCAGAGGGAGAAAAGGGAGTGAAGGAAAGAAGGAAACAAAGGAAAAAGAAAAAAAGGAAGAAAACAGAATGAAGAAGAGGAGGAACAGAAAGAAGTCAGGCAGGAAAAGAAAGAAGATGAAGGGGAAAACAGAAAAAGGAAAAAGAAGGAGGTGGGGAAGAAGGGAGTAAACAGGAAACAAAAAAGGGAAAGGAAAGGAGAGAGGAAAGAAAGGAGAAAACAAGGAAGTGGGGAGGAAGGAAGGAGGGGAGGAAGGAAGGAAAAAGTGAAAAGGAAGGAAAAGAAAGAAAAAGAGAAAGGAGGACGGGAGGAACTGAAAAGAGAAAAGGAGAAAGGAAGAGGAGGAAGGGGAGTGAAGGAAGGAAGGAAGGAAGGGGTGGGGGAAACACCAGGCACGACCTGCACTCACTTCTTCACATTGGCCTCGCCGTTGGGGATGCGCCGCAGCTTCTTCTTCTTGAGGATCTTCACAGCCCTGCGGCACAGCGTCTCGGAGTCCAGCACCTCCTTCACCTTGCCGTAGGAGCCCTCGCCCAGCAGGTCACCCATCAGGTACTTCCCAATGAGCTTGGCGCGCTTGCGGCGCGGCTGGTAGATGACCTCGGTGGAGTCGATGCGGTGGATGAAGGTGTCCATCCCCACAGCGATCAGCTCGCCCTCGGGGAACAGGCCCGGCGGCTGCGGGTCGGCCACGTCCATCCTTGATCCGGCGCCAGGGAGCCCTGCTCGCCCCCCACCCCTTGTCCCCTCGGTCCCCCGACGGGCAGCGCCCGCCTCCGGTCTTGGCTTCCCTTCTTCAAACGTTTAACAAGAAAAAAAAAAAGTAACGGACGGACCCCCCCACCCCCCACCCCCCGCCAAGTCCACGGGAAGTCTTCCTGCGACGGTCGCGGCTGTCCCCGGGCGCGGCGGCGCTAGGTCATCGTCCAGGCGCTCGGCCGAGGCGGCGAGAGCGCTGGGGCCCGTCCGCGCCGTCCATGCCCGGCCCCGCGCTCCCCGCCGCCGCCGCGAGCCCCGGGCCTCCGGCCAACACCGGGAAGCCGGGGCGATGCAGGCCGCAGGCTCCGGAACAGGAGGCTCCCCAAGGCTGACGAAGCCCAGGAGTCGCGTCCCCCTCGCCGCGGCCGCCGCGCGAGAGCAGGAGGCGGGGCGGCGAGGGGGGGATCCAGCCCATGCAAGGCCGCCCGCGGGGGCCGCCGGCGCCGCCCTCCCGGCCCCCGCTGCTCACTCCCGGGCGCCCCGGGTCGCCTCCCCCTTCCGCGCCCGACACGCCGCCGCCATCTTGTTTACCGCCCAGCGCCGCGCCGCCGCCGCACGCCCCGTCGCGGGACACGCCCCCAGGCGGCGTGGATGTGCGCGGCCGTTGGCTGCAACCGCTGACACCTCCCCTTTGGCTCGCCCCCGCCGCCACTGATGATTGGACCGTTTGGATCCGGGTGGGTGCCCGAGCGGGGATTGGTCGAGGCTGGGCTCCACCCAAGAGGCGGAGACGGATCTCTCATTGGCCCTTGAAGACGCCCGTCACGGAGAAGGAGGAAGGGAAGCGGGCGCTGGGAAGGAGAAGCTGCTACGGTGACCTCGGAGGGGTTTGTGCCTGAGGTCGGAGGTCACAGCTGCTGACGGCCTCCGTAGGACGGATGCGGCGTAGTGGGCAGTTTCGAAGTCAGGGGAGGCCCGAGGGCAAGGAGGGACACTAGCCAGGTCCCTTCCCTGAATCCCTCTTTGGGCGAGGTCAAAGGTCAAAAAGTAACCCAAAGGGGCCATTGCGTGCAAAAAGACTTTATTAAGCGCCACTGGGGTGGGGTGGGGAGGGTGCGTGGGGCGGGGGAGACGCGCAGAACGGGCTCTGCCCTGGAGGAACTCGCGGGGAGAACTCGGAGCGCAGCTGGCATCGTGTCAGCAAAGCGCTTTCGGTGGAAAACACGAAGAGCTGCCAAAATACGGCTTGATAAGGTTGAGATCGCCCCTTGCCGTGCCCGTCAGTGTTTCTCCCTCGCTCTTTTTTTTTTTTTTTTTTTTTTTGAGACAAGGTCTTTCTTCAAGTTGCTCAGGTTGGGCTCGAACTTGAGATCCTCCTGCCTTAGCCTCCTGAGTAGCTGGGATGACAGGTGTACACCACCACGATAGGCTGCTCACTCTACGTTATTGTGCTGCAACAGTCAGCTTTTTGTCCTGGAGGCTCTGGGGGCTGCAGGTCAGTCCCTCTGCCTCCCTTTATTCATCTATAAAATGGGCCCAGAAACCAGATTTTGGGCTGTTTGGGGGGTTTTGTTGTTGAATTTTTGGGTTCATTTGTTTTGTGGTGGGAATTGAACCCCAAGCTTCATGCATGCTAAGCACACGTTCCACCATTGAGCTATGTCCTCAGACCTTTTGGGTGGCTTTTTTTTGGTATTGGGATAGGACCCACGGCCCCCCACAAGCTAACCAAGTGCACTACCAATGAGCTACATCCCCAGCCCTTTTCTTTTTTCATTTGAGCCATAGTCTCAAGTTACCTAAGTTGGCCTTGCATTTTCAAACCCCTCCTGCCTCAGCCTCCTGAGTAACTGGAGTTACAGGCTTGTGCCATTGAGCCCGGTGGTTTTGGTTATTTTTAAGGAAAGCCACCTCAAGCAGCTGTCACACTAATCGCTTGAACTTGGGCTCCCTCAGATCAATGAGTATGGCATGAGTTGTTTTTGCATTACTGGGGATGGAATCCAGGGCCTTTGTACTGAGCTACATCCCCAGCCCAATTTTTATTTTTATTTATTTATTTATTTAGTACCAGGGATTGAACTTGAGACCTTGTACTTGCGAGGCAGGCAGTGGAACCACTGAACTAAATCCCTGGGCCTATTTTTATTTTATTTTACTTTGAGACAGGGTCTCCTAGTCACTAAGTTCCCCAGGCTGGACTCAAACTTGTAATAATGTCTCAGTCTCCCAGAGTGCTGCTATGACAGGCCTGTGCCCCAGGCCCAGATGACATGAGCTTTAATGTGTTCATTGAGACACTTGCTGAGGGCCATGGATTTAGCTCAGTGGTTTTGCCGCCTGCCTCGAAAGCGCAAAGACTGGAGTTGGATCCCTGGTACCCAAATAAAAAAGGAAAACACTTGCTGAGCCAGTCGTGGTGGCATATGTCTGTCATCCTAGCACTTGGGGGTCAGAGGCAGGAGGATCACGAGTTCGAGGCCAGCATAGTAAGACCCTTAGGGCTGGGGATTTAGCTCAGTGGTTTCGCTGCCTGCTGTGCAAGAGGAAGGACTGGGTTTCGATCCTCGGTACCAAAAAAAAAAAACAAAAACAAAATATAGTACGTAGTGAGACCCTGTCGCGGGAAAAAAAAAAAAAAGACCCCTGTGGATTGAAGGAGTATGGGCGGCAGTATGTGGACTTCTGCGGCCACTAGGGGGTGCACGTGGCCGCGCGCGGATCTGGGAACCCCAGTGACCTCCACCCCATCCCACCCTCTACCCTTTGCAGGGAGACACTTGGGACTGGCACACTTTGCTGGACTGTGTCAATTGTTACAGATGGAGCAGCAATCTCAGAGCACACACAGTCCTGTCACCCCCTGCTCACTGGGGACCCTGTGGCCAGGTCTCTGGGACAGATGTTCCTGGGCACTGCCAGGCCCGGGGCAGCTTTGCTGTCCTCCACCTGCCAGGAGCTCCTCCAATCGTGACAATCATATATGTCCCCAGATGTCACCAAGAGTTCCCTGGGGACAGAGTTGCTCCTCAAAATGACAGACCTTGGTTAAAAATTCACATTGTAGCCAGGGATTTAGCTCAGTGGTTCCGCCATCTGCCTTGCAACCACAAGGACCTGAGTTCGATCCCCGGTACCAAAAAAGACAAAAAATTCACATTGCAGGTGTTTTGTTTTGTTTTGTTTTGTTTTGTTTGAGACAGGGTCTTGCTATGTAGTTAAAGGTGGCCTTGAACTCACTGTGCAGCCTAGGCTGGCCTCCCACTGGTGATCCTCCTGCCTCAGCCTTCTGAATGCTGGGATTACAGGCGTGTGCCACCATGTCTCGTTTCATGTCACTTTATATGCATCCTTTTCTTGACTTTCCAAAGTCTATCCAAAACAGATCAAATCTTTGTTCTTACAACGTATATCCCTCTCAAACCCCTGCATCCACGAATCTACTTCCTGTCTCTGGAGTCACCTGTCCTGGGCGTTTCCTGTCCATGGAACCTGTGGTGTGAGTCCTTCCACGTCTGGCGTCTCTCACTGAGCACCTCATCTTCAAGGTCCGTCCACACTGTGGCAAGTTGTCACAGCCGCGCTTCTTTTCATGATTAATATTCCAGTGATGGGATGGACCTTGCTGCATGTCCTTTTGTCCAGTGATGGACAGTTGAGTTGATTCCAACCTCTGGCTGCTGTGACTGTATACACATTCTTGTATGGATGTGCATTTTCATTTCTTTGGAGTAGGTATCAAAAAGTGGAATTATTGGGTCTTGTACTGTCTATGTAAGTTTTTGAGGAGAGGGCAGGCTGGTTTTTGTTTAGTTTTGTTTTTTGTTTCTGTTTTGTGGTACAGGGGGTCAAACCCAGGCCTTCCCACTGAGTTACATTCCATAGCCCTTTAAAGAAAAAAATTTTTTTTTTTGGTACTAGGGATCGAACTCGGGTCCTTGTGCTTGCACAGCAGGCGGCGAAACCACTGAGCTAAATCCCTGGGCCCCCAATTCTTTTTTTTTGAGGTAAGTACTAAGTTGCCCAGTTGCCCAGTACTAAGTTGCAATCCTCCTTCCTCAGCCTGCAAGAGTGGTGGGGCTACAAATGTGGGCCCCTGTGCCTGGCTCAGTAGGCTGTTTTCCTCATCTGCACTTGGTATCTTTTCAACTTTTAAGTTCTGAAACAAGGGAGTGTGTTACCTACTCAAAAACTTAAATTAGCACAGAGAAAGAAAGTGGCAAACTCTAGACTGTGGGGGACGTGACAGGAGAAACAACTGACTTTCGTGCAAACCAAACCACAGGAAAAAACATGAGAAAGAGAGTTGAGGGTAAGGGAAGGTGAGCCGAGAGATGAAAAAGCACACAAGTGATGCATCCAACACTCACAGGATGTGGACCTTAGCCCAACCCACAGCACCGTGTAAAAAGCCACACACAGGGCTGGGGATTTAGCTCAGTGGTTTCGCCGCCTGCCTCGCAAGTGCAAGGACCCGAGTTCGATCCCTGGTACCAAAAAAAAAAAAAAAAAAGCAGCACACAATATATGTGACAACCCGGAAGATGCAGTGATATTTAGGGACCATCGTTAAAGTGTTCAGGTGCAACAAAGGTATGACCATGTGTGAAACAGAAAGTGGGGGCCTGGGGTGCAGCTTAGTGGTGAGCTCTTGCCCAGCATACACAAAGCCCTGGATTCCATCCCCAGCAACCACATAAAAAAACCCAATCAATGTGTGTCCATCGCATGTCATATGACTGTATCAAAATTTAAATTAGGGAGAAGCTTGGCTTATGTGGAGTCTGCTAACTAACTGGAGTGTTTTTCCAGACCACTATTTGTTCAATGCTTGGGGGGTCTTTCTGAAACAAATCACATCCTCTGGTGTCTTGCTGGTGCTTGAGATGCTTTTATAAGTTATATGGAAAAATGTTCAAATACGTTTCTTTTTTTTTTGGTACCGGGGATCGAACTCAGGTCTTTGCACTTGCGCAGCAGGTGGCGAAACCACTGAGCTAAATCCTCGGCCCTTTAAGTGCTTTTCAGTTTTGTTTTGGCTGAGTTCTACTGTATTTGAATATTATTGTAGTTTTTTTCCCCTTGCATTGTTCTTCTTTGA